CTGCTACTTTACAAACACATACATTACATGTATTATATTGTAAATAAAACCTTTTTGTGATTTATAGTTCTTCATACCATTATGGTTCTTCTCGATAAAAATAATTCCTATAGCTAAAGATTTCTAAAATTTAATATATATAAATGCAAATTATTTGTAGCATAATTATTTACATTTAAGTTAAAATACATTAAAACTCTATGAGATAAAGAATTTTTTGTCATTTTACTGGTTCATTTATTGCATATAGATAAAACATACCCTTCGTATGTGATACAAAAGAAAATATTACTATCATATTTATAAACACATTTTGGCAATGATTAAATTCAGTAAAAGGATTATTTGATTTCTGATTTTTCAGGAATACACGGCAAACTATAATTGATTATAGTTGATTAAGAATACCGAGTACGAATACCCTATCATTGGTTTCAATATAGGAACGAGTATATAAATAATTTTGTTCATCGAGTAATGAATCTTATAAAACGAATCGCACACTTTATGAAAGCCGAAGACTTGAAGCAAAATTTCAATAAAGATGAAGGTGCGATATACCATCACCGATATCTACTTATTGTTTCGTATTAAAATAAATTCAAAATATAATCAATGATACAAGGTTTTTCAAATAATATCCTTGTAGATATAAAATATGTGCCAGTTGAACAAAAATACTTCTGAAAAAATAAAAATGCTGGGGGGGGGGGGGGGTTGCCCTTAAAATTTAATGAAATTTCTGCTCTGGAAAAAATATTATGGTATGCTGTCTATGAAACGTGCTTTCTGTTAAACACATGCTTGGAGTGCTGTTGTTTTAATAGCACTTAATAATTTTTTTTTCGGTGCGAAAAATACACATCGCTCAAATTCAGTAATACATACCGGATTAATATTGAAACGTAGAAATTGTTTTTTAGCTTAATTCTTGTAATGCAAGCGTTGATAATAATTATATTCCCCATGCGCATTTTAATTTATGAATAATGTCTGCTAAATCATATAATTTCATTTACTTCAATTCGCGTGTTCTCCTTGCTCTTGATCCTTATATCTTGATATTGCAAAAATATTATCGTGTCTAAATTCCAAAACTTTTGAGGTGCAGATTGTCATCAAATATTGAAAGGAGGTCTTGAAGATATAAAAAAAAATACAGGTAGTGACAAGAATATCTTAAAATATGTTTTTAATAAAGACTGTCTCTATCGTGTATTTTTAACATGTAGGGTGAATTCACCATGCATCGGACACCCTTGTACTTCAACAAGTTCTAGCGATATCGCTACCGACCGAATATTATCAAAATGGAAGTTAACATGTAGTATGTGGTTAAAACATAATTTTTTGACACAATCGTGCCCTATTTATTGAGAAAATATCATTAAAAACCGATTTTTCCGAAATAAGTCAGAATTCACCATGGATCGGACAATATTCACCATGCATCGGACATACGATATTTAAACCAGAAAAATATCATACATTGATCTCGGTGCTTTAAATTAGTGATATCGAAACATTTTATCTTTTATTTAAAAATAAACTTCTAATTAAATTTGAATGACTATTTCGATCCACAAATATGAAGAGATTTTAGTTGCATCACATCGCCTTAGAAAGGCTTTTACAATGCTATATAGTAATATGGCAATTCGCGCCTTTGTCTCGTGAGTTATAATCATCTAGTTTAAAGAAATAAATTGAGTCCACTTCTTGTCGTCATATATCGATAATTTGTATTTCATTGAAAATTTAGAGTTTCTATTTTCTATTTCCGTAAAAAACAGCTGTCATTTGGGTTTTACATGAAAATGGAAGTGATTACCCATGCATCGGAAAGTGTCCGATGCATGGTTAATTTGTGTCCGATGTACGGTGAAATAAGCATACTAGTTAAACACAGCACTAAAATATATTATACAAACATTGAAGTAAAATTTTTTGAAAAAATTCTGTAATATTATCAATCATTGGCAAATTTTACCAAGGTCTGACCCGTTCCGTTGACGTCTATTTAAAAGAACAATCGTAAAATTCTGGTTACTCCCCTTTGATGACGCAAAATATAACGTAATTTCAAGGCCATTCTTGTGGTATTTTTATCAGAACAATAAAATAAAAATCGACATCATTAAAAAGTTTAATTCTTCATCTTTCAGACAGAAACAAGTAAAAACACGGGGAGACTCAGGTTCAATGAAAGTTTATTGCTTGAAGTTGTCCGAAGCAAGGTATGTGTCCGATGCATGGTGAATTCACCCTATATGTTTTTTTAATATCTACTGGAATGTATAATAATTTATCACGAATCGAACCTTTAAACATAGAAAACAAATAATATTAAGTTAGTTTTGGGATTTTTCGTAAAATGACAATGTAGCGTGCATTTAAAGTAATTTGTTTTTTTTACAAAATATTAAAGGATACTATTATTGAAATGGAATAAGAATCACAGGCGTGTTAAGTGGCCATTGATGTATTTAAAGCTTGCTGTGAAACAGATTTAGATTGTAGAAGACAGTGTTATTAACAGGGAAAAAGAAAATGGAGCACAAAGTTGTCCGCTGCTGAAAAAATCTAACCCTTGAAGCAATTGAAATCTTTTATTGCTTGCACATTCAAGAAATAAGAACTTTAATTCAAAAATTGTTTTACTGGTACAGCTCATTTCTTCCGTTAGAGATTAGTAGTTGATTTACTTCGATCTTCTTTACTGCAAACTTCTCGCTTTGTTTACAAACATAGACAGTGTTCTCTGTGTTGAACGATTCACCACTAACGCGGGAAAACTGCTCTGTTCATTAGCATAACAGCGCAAGAATTAGTTTATTTATATATCACCAGCACGTCAATCTTTTCAAAATATCCTGGTTTGTACAATGTTCAATTTTGTGAATTTTCTTTAAAAATTTGTTTTCAAAATACTTCTAATTATATAAAACATTTATTAATTTATAAATCAAATTTTGTTTGCACGACGTATCACTTTTGTTGACCGCATGCCCCTAACACTATTTCTTTTTCGGATGGACGCAAATTCCAATAAAATTAATAATAAATATTTATGTTTATAAACACTTCAAAGCATATCAGGAAACATATTCTTGTTCTGTAGATTATGAAAACTGTAAATTAACCACTATTATACAAGAACCCGTACGCAAAATACTCAAATGAAAATGTGATTAGTTTCGATACATTGGTGAATCCCTTACAAGTCACATAACATGAGTTGATACCATCAACTCGTAAAAATAATAATAATAAGCCATTGCCTAATTATCTCGGACACAAAAACTATTGAACCAATGCTAATTTATCAAAGTTTTATTTAAAAAAGACTGTGACGGACAAAAGTTAACAATATATTTCATTTGTATTTGAAAATTCTATCGTGCCTCGAATAAAATTTACCCTTTAAAAAGTGTAAGAAAAAAGGTACTAAAATACACGTGCATGAAATATTAGAATTTTCTTGCGAATTCAGTGGACTTAATTTATGTCAGTCTTCGCGTGTGTTCACAAATTAAATTTCGTATTTCGCAATGACTAGCAGCAATAAGCAGGGTCAGTGCATATTTAGATTACGTATGAGAAATAGCATCATCACAAACCACGGCCAAAATACACGATCTTCTCCCATTCTGAAGATAGCTATATGCGGACTCCGAACCGTGGCTTGAGATGATGGAGAAATAGAGGTTGACAAATATTTTGTTTTTCTGTTCTTTTTTTTCTTTTCGAACAGTATATATCAAACAAAGTAAGACTTCTGTACAATTCCTGGAGTCTTTCAAGCTTTTAGCAATAAGTTAAATTACATGTACAGCCAAGGAATTTGGCAAAGATGGGAATCCAAGGATAAAGTCTATTTTATTATCTTTCAGCATATGATTTATGTTGCACAATCTACATTACATGGCCAAAAGTGATTCATCATTTCCCTTTTTACCATATACCTTATGAAAAGTAAGTCTTTGTTAAAAAATTTTGTGGGTTCAATTCTACTCAAAATTTCAAAAAACTTTTCCAATAAGTTACGAAAAATTGCTCATATTTTCTTTTTGTTGGGGGGGATGCAAAATTTGATTATTGATTACTGAGTAAAGATCTGAAATTATAAAGTCAAAATTTCTAACTTTAAAACACCACGATTTCATTACACATTTTTGTTAATCATGCATCTTAGAATAAAAAAAGTTCGGTCACTAGATGAGTATATTAGGAACATTGATTCCCCTATGATTTAACATTTAGGGTAAACTGGTTTTGACACGTTTTAAGCATTAATTTATGGGGCGGGGGGATACTAAAACATCCCAAAATCCATTATTTGAATATATAATTTAAATCTGTCCATCATCCCTAAACATGTTTTCACTTTTAAATTTGCAATTATGACTGTACACCACATTAGTATATATAGAAAAAAAACCCTGAAGTGATCTAAGTTTTGTTTCTGGCATTTCGGGATAGTATTTTTTCTTATTCAGTCCTTATTTTATAATAAACCTTATGTTGAAAATTTCATGCAATAAATTAATAACTCCAATTAATACCTGTCCTCATTATACTTCGGATATATATATTTATTTACTAAATTTACTTATAAAAAAACATGTGAAAAATTGCAATAAACTTTCATAATTTCCATCATATCAGTTAACAGATTCTTATGATATTTTATCTCATTCAATGCCAGTCGCCGTGTGGCGCAGTGGTTAGCGTTTGCTCTAGAGTCACGAACATGAAAGAGTCGATCCTTACGTAGCGGGTTCGAATCCCACTGCGGGACGTGGAGACAGTTAAACCGAGGTCGCAGTAAGTGCTGGTCAGAAAAAGATCCCTCACTACTAAATGGCCTGGAGTGCTGAATATAGATCTAAATTTGCAGCCCACCAACGGCAATAGTGATGTCTCAATATGAGTGAAAAATTCTCGAGAGGGACGTTACACAAACAAAATCATTCATACCACCGTCTTTCAGTACTTACAGTACTTTGATTAGAACAGGGTCTCAACCACGTCTCAAGAGAGTTACAACACCAGGATACACAATTCGGATACGACGGATTCTGTCATAAAGTAACAAATCCTCATACAGATGTCGTAGACATTGTTCAACTGATATTGCGGTCTGCAACCATCGGCAAACGATATCAAGGCAATCAGAAGAGCAATGCGGAGGAACATTATAAAATCCTGAAAAAGTTTGATAACAATTGCGTAAATGAACAACATCTACATACTTCTGAATACACTCAATCTGTCATAAGTTAAGGATACTAAATTTTCAGGAATATGGGTTTTTTTCTTATGCCCCCCTATCCCCCGTTTGGGGGGTAGTTCAATAAAGATTGTAAATATGTTCACAAAAAATCTCATAACAAATAAAAAAAATAACAATAAAAATGCGGCAATGAGGAGAATGCGCGAGACTATCATTTTTGTTTGGTAGAGGTCATGATTTTTCTGAACTGATCATGGCATTACATTTGACAAATACACTATAATTTGTAATTCATCATTAGTCTAGATATCTATACAAAGCAAATATAATGATCGAACTAAACAGAAAAACTATTTACTAGAAAAAAAAAGTTTCACATGCATGTTCAAGGGCTGTTAACAAGGAAAAATAGCTAAATAGGAAAAAAAAAAGAATACTTTCATGATCTGGCATTCATTTTTACTATAGACATGTAGTATTCAAAGACATTTTCATGTTAAAGTTCTAAATTCAAAAATCCATTTACTTATTTGAAACTGAAAATTAATTATAGTATCGAGTGTATCACTTTGCAGCGAAAGTACAGATATGTGGAATTCAGAAAAGTTCATGTTTAGAAAAAAAAATCGATGCCACAATTTAATTAAAGGAGAGGCAACCAGAACAAAATACATGTATGAAAATAATTTTGTAAACCATCGATGTAGAACCACACATTATTATACACAAGTAATCTTTCAATAGCAATAAATAAGATAATATTTAAGATTTAATCATTGACTGTCAGAACACGTATTAACAAATAATAAAATAAATTCATGAAATAAGAGATCATTATTTTGAATAACCATATTCCACATTTTTAAACGGTTCAAGTATACATGTATAAAATAATACAAAACCTGAGTAACAGTTAGATTTGATTAAATCGAAAAATCTGGAGGATTTTTTAGATATCATTTGTTTTCTACTTATTTTTTGACATATTGTCATTGCATGGATAGGTACATGTAAAAACACGTGCCTGTTATTTATATCTCTACAGCCCAGTAGCTAAGTACTTCGGTACAAGCTTGAAAATAAGGATATACATGTATATTTAAATGCTGTGGTAAAATTTAGAAATTTATTTCAAAATTAAGGATTGCTTCCCTCATGTATAGCTCTGATCCTCCTACGTATTTGGCCCCAGTCTTTGGCACCTTTTTTCAGCTCTTCAAAGTCATTTTTAATCAAATATTTCGGATTTCCAACGTTTCGGCATGAGCATCACAGAAGAGACATAATTTGTCGTAATGCGCATCTGGTGCATCCAAAATTGGTACCGTATATATGATTTACATCTAAGAACAACCGTCCAAGAGAACGATGTTGGGCCAAACTATTGTATTTAATACAAATCACATGCACGTACAAATTTGTTAGTCATAAATTCTAAAAATTACGGCGAGCATTTGTCAACCAGATAACACCTTCAAAGACCCATATGAAATATGAATTCAAAGGAGATGGGCGAACACGTGCGACAAACATGAAGGTAAAAAAATGAATGTCAATTATAACAAAACTTTCTTTGATATTTCATCTAAAATTAAAGTAAACTTCGTGTAAAATCTCCATAATTTGTAAAAACCTCACAAAGATTGAAATATAGCATACACACACTAAAGAAAGCAAAAAGGATCATTTATTAACATTATAACACAAATTTTCGATATGAGTGTGACTTCGCTCCATATTTTTGAAAGTTTATCCCCAAAGTTTTCGTTAAAATATGAGAGGGTCTTCTCTCTACTTTTTTAAAAAAATTATATTCAAAGTGTGTGTAAAAATATACAATTTTTTTTATTAACAAAAACATGGAAAAAAAAAAGACCCACTATACCTTAAAAATACACTTTTATGACACAACATTCGCATCTTTCCGAGAAATAGTCCATTTCTTCAAGGGTCATTTCACAAACATGATTTAAATACCGCTACTTATCAGGATCTATGTAGCGTAGTGGTTAGCGTGTGAATCTCAAGGGAAAGTGATGCTCAGGATTTTTTATTGCTAGGGTTTGAATCCCACGAATACCACATTATTGTCCCCCGCTTTCACTGAAAGTGGGGGATATTAATTTGGGTCTGTCTGTCCGTCCGTCCGTCCGTCTGTATTTCTGTCTGTCTGTAACACTTTCGTTTCTGCGCGATATCTCAAGAACCCGTTGAGCTTTCGCAATGACATTTTGCACAGCAAATCCGTATGGCCTAAAGAAAGAACCCCTATTGATTTTGACGTCAAAAGGTCAAAGGTCAAGGTCATAAATTCATAAATTCTGTCTGATTTATCACTTTCGTTTCCGAACGATATCTCGAGAATCCTTTGAGCTTTTGCAATGAAATTTTACGTAACCACTCCCTGTGGCCTAAGGAAGATCCATTTGATTTTGAGGTCAAAAGGTCAAAGTTCAAGGTCGTAAATTCATACATTCCGTCTGTGTGAAACACTTTCGTTTCCAGGCGATATCTCAAGAAGCTTTTGAGCTTTTGCAATGAAATTTTATACCATAACTCCCTAGGGCCTCTCTGGCCCCTCTCAAAGTGTCCTGCCCCCTTTTTTTTATTATTATTATTTATTGTATTAAAAGTCGCTTGGCACTATTTTTAGCACAGGGGCATGTGGAGAGTTATAACGTATAATACAGTTTGTCGGCGGACTTTATATTCTTGTTACATCTATTAGAACTGTTTAGTAAAGGCTAGATTAGACACCATGTATTGTGTAAAATTTTGACAATATCGAACGTGAATATAAACATTATAAGTGACCTACTGTTTGCATTTAATTTGCTTCATAATCAAGTGCCTCCGTGGTCTAGGGGTAATAACTCTCGCTTAAAAAGAGAAAAAAAAAACCTCTCGCTTAGCATGTGAGAGGTGCCGGGTTCAAATCCCGGACGATCCCTTTTTTTTCTTTTTTTTTTTGTTTTGTTTTTTTTTTTTTTTTTTGTTTTTTTGTTTGTTTTTTTTTTTTTTGTTTTTTGTTTTTTTTTTTTTTTTTTTTTTTGTTTTTTTTTTTGTTTTTTTGTTTTTGTTTTTTTTTTTTTGATTTACTAAATGACAGAATTCAGCAAGTGAAATGAAAAAGTTATGATGTCTGGCTTGTACAAACTCATAAAATCATTATTACAGCGTGATTAATATTCTATATAAAAAGAATCTTTTATACATATTTTAAAGAATAAGCAATCAAATCTTTATATCTATATTGGCATTTTCTTATTTGCTTCAATATACATGTATATATTTAATAATTCTACAAATCCAGGGGGGAGCCGACCCCCCCCCCCCCCCGAACTGCCCATGTTCTTCTTTTTTCCCTAAGCGGGGGACACAAATTCTCTGAATTAGCTTGTTTTTTTTTAATAACAGGATAAGTTTTGTTGAGAAAATTTTTCTCAGAAAAGTTTTTTCAAAAACTCATAAATTTCAATACAGAGAAATTTATTCTAAATACTAAATTCACAAATTGAATATGATTTTTATATATCTGAAGCTTAGGCATTCTGCACGCCTTGTTCACCCATCTCCTTTTCGTATTCAATGCAAAAACAGTTAAGATTTCCATTATGAAATATTATCTGCTATTTAATGCGTTTAAAAACAATTGCACATAATAATGCCTATCTGAGATTTTTATACATAAGATGCATCTGATACTAGTGTATGAAATATAATCGAACCCAGGCATCCCGATCACGAAGCGAGAGCACTACCACGTCACCGGTAGCCCACGACAATAATTCCAATGTTTGTTTGTTTTTTTGATTCATCTTTGTTATTGCACCGTGGTCTTTAAATCAAGTTTTAAAATGTATTTAGAAAGCATTATTAATTAAGGTGAATCTTATATAAATGCTAAATGTTATAGAGGTAAATTGTCAATTGGCAATACTGAAAATGTTTTAAAATCTCCTTAAAAATGAATGGTGTTCAAAATACATGTCGAATTTCGTATTGTAATGTAGTAGGACATGTTATGAAAAATGTTCAGATGACGATCAGTGATCAAACTCATTAATCCTGCAATCAAAACATAGCGAGACAAAAAATATAACAAAAGTAGGATCAGGTACCTAGGAGGAATATTCATCCCCAGTCAACCAGTCACACCCAACATTTATCCTCTGCATTGATCAGGTACATGTAAGCGGTGTCAAAATTAGTGTAAAAATGATGACTAGACAATTGGTATGAAGCATGTCCGTCAAAATACTATCAAACAATGGGTGGTATTTGGAAACAAGGCCATTTTTTAGCCAAGGATGCTTTGTGGCAAGTTTGGTTGAAATTGGCCCTGTGGTTCTGAAGAAGAAGTTGAAAATATAAACAGTTTACAGACGGACGGACAGACAGACAAACAGACGGACGCCGGCTAAAATGTGATCAGAAAAGCTCACTTGAGCTTTCAGCTCAGATGACCTAATAAAGCAAGAATTTTTTTTAAAAATATTTTGTTTTTTTCTTTATTATTATATATATCATATGGAAAATACATGTACATAGAAATAAAGTGTTCAATTATTTTATCTTTGCTAACTAAAGTTATTTTTATAGTCAGGCTTTTACTGCCTCCATTAGATATTTTTTTAACAATAACCCAAACATTTCGTTAAATTGTTATTACACCCAGATACGCAATTCGAATACCACGAATTCTTTCTTATTATGTAGCAGATCCTCATACAGACGACGTAGACATCGGCACATAGACATTTGCACTTGTTACTTTGATATTCCGTGTGGCAACCATAGGCAAGCGATACCAACACAATCATTAGAGCAATGCGGCAGAACATCGTGAAATCCTGAAAAGTATGGAAAATTGATTTCGCTATCATGT